TACCCCTGGCGGTGCTCAGGGCACCATATGGGATGCTGGGAATCAAACCCAGCTTGGCCACGTGCAAGGCAAACACCCTAGCCGCTGTGCTATTGCTCCAGCCCCTACTGTCACTGTCACTGTCCTCCCGTTGTTCATCGATTTGCTCGAGCGGGCCCAGTAACGTCTCCATTGGAGACATTGTTGTTACTGTGTTTGGCATATCGAATACATTACGGGTAGCTTGCCAGGCTCTGCTGTGCGGGCGACATACTCTTGGTAGCTTGCCCGGCTCTCTGACAGGAGTGGAGGAATTGGAACTCGGGTCAGCCATGTTGGCTGCGTGCAAGGCAAATGTCCTACCCGCTGTGCTATTGCTCCAGCCCCAGCCCCTACACTCATTGTTTTTAAGAGAAAAGTTTCTGATTGAGATTGAATATCACTGTGTTTTATGCATTATAGCTTATAGGTAATTTTTGGTTTTTAATTGAGATTCTGTGATACAATTAAAAATGCTATCTCATGCAGAAAATTCCAACACCACACCCAACAGGTGTACCCATATCCCGCCCCCAAATTTCAACGCCACACCCAAAAGGTGTACCCATCTCCCTCCCCTTTTCATCCTCGGTCCCAACTCAATTATGTGGATCAGTTCTCCCACTGTATTGCCTTTGAGCCCTTGTTCCTATCTCAATGTGTATCATTAAGTCCCAAATATTAGAGAGATCATTATGTATATGACCCCTTCCTTCTGACTGACTTGACTCAGCATGATACATTCTAGTTCTATCCATGTTGCTGAAAATTGCATGATTTTCTTCTTTCTTAGAGCTGCATAGTATTCCATTTTGTATATATACACCTAATCTCTTGGTTCATTCATCTGTAGCTGGCTTTTGGATTGTTTCCAAATCTTGGATATTGCAGAAAACTAAATCACTTTGAGTTTATTTTTATAAAGGATGTGAGGTGTGGTTCTAATTTCATCACTAAGTGCAGTGGTGAACAGAAGTCGGCAAATATTCTTTCAAATTAATGTTTTTGTGTTTTGGTGATAGATGGCAAGAAGTGTTATCACTGGATCATTTTGTAGTAGTTCTATTTTGGTGATATATCCATATTGATTTTCATAAAGGCTGAAATAGGACTAGCCACCAACAGTAGATGAAGGTTCCTTTCTCACCACAACCCTGTCAACAATGGCTATTTTTAGAGTTTTTGATATGTGAAATTCTCACAAGCATGAGATGGCATCTCATTGTTGTTTTGATTTGCATTTCCCCATGAATGACAACTAGCACTTTTCATATACCTGTTGGTCATCCATATGTCTTCCTTGGGAACATGTCCATTTATCTTGCCTCCCCATTTATGGATAGGATCATTAGATTTATTGGTGAGTTTTGTGAAAGCCTCATAGACCTAGAGACTCTTTATCTGAAGTATTTTGTGCAAATAATTTCTCCCATTTAGTAGAGAGTGTTTGTATTAGAGTTTACATTTATTTCACTGTGAAAAAGCTTTGTACTCACTCTTGTCCCATTTGTTTGTTTTTGTTGTATTTGCCACCAGGGTTATCTCGTTGAGAAAATTTCAAGATCTTTAAACCACTCTGAGTTTACTTTTATAAAGAATGTGAGGTCTGGTTCTAATTTCATTTTTTACATGTCTGAACTTATCTTTGAAATAAATTCCAGAGTCTCAATAGGATGAAAATGTCCCCCTTCTATTGAGGCAGAATCAAAAACCTTAGAATTTGAGACCTGACCACATTCAACATGCTTGAATTCACAGGACACTTCCACAGGTGCCATTGGGCATGAGTCAAAACCAGAATTTTTCCCTGGGGCAAGCATTGGGATCAGAGACAGTAGACAGATGGCGAATTATTTTCTCCTGTTTTTCAAAGATCATATATATGTCCAGAAACTTCTTTTCTTTTATTAGAAGAATACTGAAATTCTGAAGAATCCAGCTTTAGTTGATGTTAGCTACACAGTGATTTCCATAGTATTTCCTCATCTTTAAGGGGAGAAGACTTTGATTATTGACATGTAACTAAGCTAAACAGTAGAGTCTAGCTTTAATGGAGCACAGCATCAACGCCTTGAGTGTTCAGGGGTCATTCTCCATAACGTATTCCTCAAAGATAGTACTGTCAATATTGGGTTTGTTCCCATTCCTCCCACTGTCTAGCTCAATTACATTTCAAGAGGCAATATATTCTGTAAAAAGTAAAACTCTTAAAACTAATCACCAGCTATTTTGGAACGCCCTTGAGACTGTTATACTAACATGATGTGGGGAATGGTTCTGTGGTAGTCAGGTATGCAAACTCCACTGCCAATAGACCATCAAATGGGATAGGATTTCTGAGATGCACCTGCAGACAGTTGGAAGGTTCAAATCAATGTGTGGGCAAATGGCTCTGTGTTACTTGTCAAATATCTGCGCCTGGCCAGAGTCAGCTGTCAAGTAACCCTAGGTCTAAGGACAACAAAAGAATCCTCAGCAGATGAAGCCCACAGACAGTCTCCAAGTTGTGCTTTAGCATCATTTAGCATCATTCATATTTCTTCGTGGGGGCTGTTTTTAGTGATCTTTCAGCTGTCTGTGATGCAACGTGGAGTCTTGAGAAGAAATGGGAATGAAGAGACAGAAGGTTTGCCCCATGTTGGAAGAGTGGAAAACTGTGGGATCCATTTGGGACCAGGGCTCTCATTCCACATATTTTACTTATCAGCCTGGTGAACTTTAGAACATTTGGAGCTCATCATCTGCAAAATATGCTTGATAAGCCTTATAATAGAGAGTGGTTGGAATATATGTAATGGATATGAAGCATATGGCAGCGCAATTGGAGAGAGAATTGAAGTTAATAATTGTTTAACCACAGATGACAGCACCTTTCCCTGGGGACATTTATATTTTGTTAATTCAGGAGATATCACAGAACGTGCAGTTTTCTAGGATAAATAACAGCATGTTTCCCCACAATTCTTAGCAACTGAAACCAAATAACTTGCCTACCGTTTGAGGCTAAATTACGTAAAGTGTTTATAGAGGAAATATCTACAGCTGGATGCAACCCGGAGGTCCTAGAATTCATGTCCACAACCAGTAACTTCTTTCCTATATGTTTTTTCACCCAAACCACTCCATTTTCATTAATCCATCATCAAATATGGTGCCCTCCCTTAGTTCTCCAAATAAACATCAAGATAACCTAATTAAAATGGCCTTTAAATGCATTGAAATTTGGCTCTCCTCTGTTCCAATACAGGACAGATACTAATTTTCTTGGCATCTCACTTCAAAGGATTGTCAGCCTTATTTTTTCAGAAACTTCATGAAGACATAAAATCTATATTGGGTTCTGTGTTGCTTCATACTGACCCCCCCCCCCCACATCCCTACCCTTTGATGTTGGGTTATGCTGACTGGTGCCACGGGTGGGTTGGAGAGGGTTGCACACACATCCCTTGCCATGGTATTTGCCAAAGGTTGCGTTCTGTTGTAGTCACACATTTTCTGATTGTAGTGTTCATTGCGGTTCCCAGTGGTCTTCACATGTTTGCCAGTAGTGGTACATCCTGACTGATGTGCTCACACATCATTTTAGTTGTGATGTTTGCTGGTGTTGCATCCCTTTAATTGTACTCACACACACCAATCTGCTGAATGATCAGATATTACCCATTGTGTCAAGGATAAAAGGTAGCAAAGCTGCCAGGATTACTCTCAGTGCATGCAATAGTCACAGGGATTATACTCAGGCTTACTCTTGTAACACAGGTACCCCAAGCCTCTAGGTCCCAGTACTCATCTACACTTGCATAAAAGCACAGGACCCCTTCCATTTCTTTCCCAGAAAGATGTTTTCTTTTAGGATACTAAGGAAATTCACAAACGGGTTTCTAGTATAAGGTTTTGTCTTCAGGAGTGAGAACTGCCATCTTTTTATGTGTATGGCATTCACCAGTACCAGTCTGCTAGCAGACCACCTAGTTTGAATTAAAAATATTTCTCACTAAAGGCTTTAAAGTTTCCCCCAAATACCAGACTGCCTTTCTTCAGGGAATCTTGACATCTTTTTGTTTTAGCGGAGCCTTATATACTCCTGGAAAAGTCCCAACCCCATTCCTGACTTATTTCCTCCTTAATCACCCTTTGGGTTTTAGAGGAAAATTTACTATATTCTCTATATGATTTCTACAGCTGGACTATAAAATTCTAAGGGCAAGGTTTTCTAAATCTTTGTTTCCCATTTATGAACTGCAGATTTTAAAAGAGCAGATACTCAATATTTAGAATTAATGAGTTGAGTCAGTGAGCATGAGTTGAGTCAATATAGTTTATAAGCATTTTATTTCTTTAATAAACCAGTAAAGCAGGTATGTATCCCCATCTTTACAGAACAGACTGAAAGTGATTAGTAAAATGAAGAGCTGAACATATTTTTCTTCCCCCGTCTTGATTCAATGATTAATCATTATTTTCACACTTCCAAGGAAATGCCCATAACAATGGCATGTTTTCTGCTTCCCTTGGTATGATTTGTTTTACAAATAAAATGTAAACCTACACAACAGTAATAGATTAGTATCATTGCCAAAAGAATTGATATTTAGATTGTGAAATTTCTTACAATTTTTGTCACAGAAGCAATAAAATTTAACCAAAGAAGTGATAGTGGAATCAATAATGAGAAAACTCTAAATTTATACCAAGAACAGGTACAGAAACAGCACAGGGTTCTGCCTATGCAGTGCACTAACCTAGAATGTAGGATGATCATTTCTTCCACAAAGAAAACAGTCTGGCTCAGACTTGCACTTTTAAAACAAAACCCCAAAAGTACAAAAAGAAAGTAAAGCGAAGAGTACAATTCCACGTTGCCAATCTTTAAGAAGAACACAAAGGTAAGAGATACTTCTCCAGCCCGACTCTGGCATTCCTCTGTTAGGAAACTGAGAGACCACAGACATTTCAATCCAAAGTCGGAACTGTCTAAGTCTTCATTCAGCTTGGCCAAAGTTGCCAGCACTGAACCTGGCAGCACGTGCGCTGGAGAAGGCAGCAATACGAGCTCTGGCTTCAGCCCTGGCACGGGCTCTCGCATCCTCATCCCTCAAAGCCTCTTCATACCAGGCTGGGAAGGCGCTGGGGACTGTATCGTGGATCTTGGCCAAGAACTCGAGGACTTTCATCTTGCTGGTCTCAGCATGGGCTCTTGGACCCCAGAAGAACTGAAAGACGGGTGGGTTAGTGTTGGGTATCTGGCGGTACTCCAGGTAATTGAGACGCACCATATCTTCGGTGATGGTCTTCTTGGGATTCCCGTAAATGAAGTGGTGCTTGTCAGCATACACACCCATCATATTAAGCACTTCCCAGATATCCGCCTCCCGGGCACAGTTGCCCTTCATGAAGATCACACCCAGGACAATCATCAGGAGCCCGGTTCTGGGCATGGTGTCATCTTCGCTTGCCGTGTTATCGAAAGTGAACTCGAGCTTGTTGACGAGGGCATAGCAGTGGCGGATGGGATCCACTTCCTTCACATCGACCCCGAAAGCCAGCTCCATGTGCTCCGAGGCCCTCCTGAAGATCTCGTTGAAGTGAATCTTGTATTTCCTGACAACACACTTCAGCATGTCAGCCTTCGTGATCAGCTCCTTCTTGTGATACTTATGCAGCAGGAACTGAACCAGCAGGACCACTCTCTTGTTCAGAGGGTCGCGGCGCCAGTTCTCATAACTCTGGGGAGATGTTTGCGCAGCTGGGCCTTCGGCACTTGCCCCGCCTTCAGCACCGCCCACCGCGCCTTCAGCGGAAACTTGCATCTGGGCATCCTCCTCTGAATCAGACTCCGAACCAGTGTCCGGAGTACTGGTCGGAGGGGGGCCTCCCTGAGCTCCGCCTTCCCCGGCCAGGGGAATCAACTCTCCAGCTTCTGCAGTGCCAGGAGCACTCTGCAGGCTCTGGGCCATGCTGCGAGCTTGGCGGCGCTTCTCCTGGGCGCGGCGCCTGCTCTTTTGACCACGAGGCATGATGACTCGGCTCGGGCACAGCACTCACAAGTGCAAGCGATTAGATTGACGAAGCGGTCACCCTAAAAGATGAAGACATGGGGGGGGGGGGGAGCGCACAGCCTCAGAAGAGAGAATTGACTGTGGCTCTGAGTCAAGCCGCCACCGTCGCTGCCGCAGTGAAGAAACCCACAAGACGGGGGCAAGTGGAACGCCGTGGCCCACTTCTGCAGGGCGCGGGTGGCCGCCGACTAACTTAAGATTCTAAGTTTGACACCTGCTAGGTCCTCTGACGCCTCCTTCTGCTGGCCTCAGGCGGAGGCTTCCCAGCCCACCCGTTCCCCAGGTGGCAGTGAGAGGTGTTTAGGCCTAAATAGGCAGATTTGAAGCCACACAGCAGTTGCCAGCCAGAGAACGGGCGGGGCTTCCAGAACCACCAGGCTGAAATGCAGGCCAGAGGCACCAGCATAGTCCCGGGACTCCTGCCTCTGCTGGCCACCGAGCTCAGCATCTCACCCCCCACCCCCCGACCTCCCATCCCCCCGCAAGGCACGGGAACCTGGGAGCACTCCAAGCTACTAAACTCACCTGGCAGCTCCGCAAACCACAGGGGTTGAGGCTCAGGGGATCCTTCTGTGAGCTCCAAGGGCAGATGCAGCCCTCAGACCTCACACCTGTGTGTTTCCTGACCCCCTTCCCCCACCCTCATCAACAAGCTCCTGACTTCTCTGGCCCTGGGGAGAGCCAACCGGCCGCTCAGGTTTCCACTGCGACTTGAGTGGGCCCGAAGGAGGGACTGAGCTTTGCAGCCATCTGGAGGACCTCCCAGGACTGACATTCGGGGACCATCTGGGGTGGGTTTTTCCTTCAGGCCTCACTCTGTGTCTTACCTGAATGTTCTTTAACTGCTAGACTAACCCTCTTTTTTTTTTTTTAGCTTTTTAGGTCGCACCCGGCAATGCTCGGGGCTTACTCCTGGCTCTGCACTCAGGAATTCCTCGTGGTAGTGCTCGGGGGACCCTATGGGATGCTGGGAATGGAACCCGAGTCGGCTGCGTGCAAGGCAAATGCCCTACCCGCTGTGCTGTCGCTCCAGCCCCTTAAGCACTCTTTTGCTGGCCCCTGGCCGAACCCACCAGCTAAAGCATGCATTTGTGGAAAAGGCCATTGACATCTGTATGGTATTCTTGCCATGGGTTCATAGAGTATATTGCTATAGGAAGCTTCTATACCTAAGCTGATCAGAATTTTAAAATACTGACTTTTGTACAGATCAGACACATATTTGTTAGCTCTCAGGTGAGGTATATTTTTGATATTATTACCCTTTTAAATGCTATATTTTCCACTTCATATTCTAATTATTTTGCATGTCTAGATTACTGATTTTGCTCCCTAAAATCTCTTTGTGCATTGGAACAGTTGACAGTCCATATCCTTGGCCATTTTTTAAAATTAGAGGCTCATACATCTCTTCATTCTTCCTTCATTTTATTTTGTTAGTCTGTGTATGGTCTACTGGACACAGCGGGGCTGCTCAAGACAATAGCACAGTGCGGGCTGGAGCGATAGCACAGTGCATAGGGCGTTTGCCTTGCAAACGGCCGACCCGGGTGACCCGGGATTGATTCCTCCACCCCACTTGGAGAGCCCATCAAGCTACTGAGAGTATATCTCCTGCATGGCAAAGTCTGCCAAGCTACCCGTGATGTATTTGATATGCCAAACACAGTAACAAGTCTCACAATGGAGACGTTACTGGGCCCGCTCGAGCAAATCGATGAACAACGGGAGGACTGTGCTACAGTGCAGTGTATGCTGGCTATGGACTCTAGTTCATATCTAAATAGTAGAATTTGTATATGCTTCTGTGTCTTGTTCTGGACTTTTATTATAAATGATTTTAACATTTAATACATATGTTTACGGTTGAATTTATAACATATAAATTTTATTCCAATCTAAGTTGGCCAAAAGTTGTTACTATGATCTATTGTTGGATTTCTTTTTTTTTTTTTTTGAGGTCCTGGAGTTTGAACTCAGGTCTCATTCATGCAAGGCGTGAAATGTCATAGTAAGCCACTTCCCCAACTTAATGTGTTAAATTTTGGTCAAAGGTTTTTTCTTTCCTTCTGTCTATTATCAGTTAATTCCAACTTATTTTTTCCAAATGCAATAACCTCTAGAAAAACTTTTTTTCTGGCCCCAAAGTTTTATTTTAAGACAATCTACATTGCCATTTAATTTATTGCTATATTGGATATTAGATGAATATATTTAGAATCTCGCTACGAGGGAACTTGACTCATCGTGCTTTTCATGGTGCAAACTCATCTGGTCTTTGTTTCAAAGAGAACTAACCTTTCAAAATGGCCAAGTGGTACCGATATTCTTGTAAGGTTTGAAAGAATTCACTTAATGTGGTGTTTAGCTTTTTGCTCATCATTTGCTCTATCCTTGGATGGCAGTGGGACATTTGGGAGATTTCTCCTTCTTCGATTCAGTGGAAGTTTAATATTTATTTATAGGCCTAAGTACTTTATATTTTGCTACAAATTGTTCCTTTGTATTTGAATTTTCAAATTTAGATACATTTATGATGAAATTATTTTATGGTAGAAATTTTTGACCATTGACAGACAGTATGGAGACTAAAATAACCCAGCATTGCTGACATAGCATATGTAATCTTCAATAGTTATAGTCAGAAGTCTGAGTAAAGTAAGGTATATTATTTGATTATTTGATGTCAGGTGCGACTAAGGTCAAGTCTGGTGGTGCTGGGAGGAAGCAGACAATGGTGGAGAGAAAACCCAGGGCCCTGCTCTGCTTGAAAAAGGCATGTGCCCTGGCCACTGTGCATATTCCCGACCCCCATATTTTAATTTAAATATTGAATAAAACTGTATCTTAATTATTGTTATGGGGGCTTGCAACTCACTCCTTTACTTTAAATTCTGAGTTAAGTTGAATGCCTCATTTGCCCAACCCTGGCCCCAGTTATGAGGAATCTTTAAAGGCTTAATACTAATTCTGGTTGCAGACTTTTAAGAAAACCACTACAAAATGGTACCTGACTTTATTTTTTTAATTATGCATATTTATTAATATATATTTATATATTAAACAGCATAAATGAGATTATGCAATGTTTGCTATATTGATTGTTAATTTTCCTTTCCTTATTTTGTATTTTTATTTTTTAATTTTTAAAAAATTTTTATTAGAGAAACACCATGAGGTACTGTTGTAGACTTACAAATTTTTGTGCTTGGATTTCAATTATGCAATGATCAAACTGGGACCCGTGGTGGTAGAAAATGGGCGCTGACTTGCTTTAATATTTGCTCATCATAGTCTTCCTTTGGAAACTTTGAGCAACAAAATCACCTTATGTGAGTCTGTTAAAAAGTATTAGTATGGGGGCTGGAGCAATAGCACAGCGGGTGGGGCATTTGCTTTGCACCCAGCTGACCCGCGTTCGATTCCCAGCATCCCATATGGTTCCATGAGCATTGCGAGGAGTAATTTCTGAGTGCAGAGCCAGGTGTGACCCAAAAAGCAAAAAAAAGGTATTAATGTTGAGAATATAAAATTCTTGTATTGATCTGGATGAAAATTAGATAAAGTATATAAAAAAAGGGGGCCAGGTCAGAATTCAAAGAAATGAAGTACATGGTTTGCATGCAAGCAAGAAGGCTTGGGTTTGTATGGTCACCAAAGCAGAAAGACCAGAGTTGTCCCAGAGTATTGCTCAAAACATATATATATATATTTACATATATTTTATATGTATATATACACATAAACACATATATTAAAATAATTTGTCAGGTTTACAAATACTAGTTATTTCAAAATTTTATGGGGTTGGGAGAAATTATTTGGCCTTCTAAGTAGTATTTGGGGAGTCCAGGGTTTTTGTAGTAGAAAAGTAGGTCAATGCTAAGTCTTGGTGATGTGCTGTTCAGGCCCAGTAGTGTTTGGGGGCCACTAGGGCCATACCTGGTTGTTCTCAGGCACCTTTAGGGCTATGTCTGGTGGTACTCAAGGTGCCATTTGGATCCAAGAATTAAACTTGGGTCCTTATGACTCTGTTCCTTGAGCTATCTTCCTATCCACTATTGAACTGAAACTTTGACAAAGTCCTAGAAGACTGTCTTGATCACCTTTTTAGGTTTCTCTGTGTGTATTTATGTGTTTTGGTTGTTTTTTTGGTTTGGGGGCCACAATCAGCAGTTTTTAGGACATACTTCTGGCTCCATACTCAGTGCTTACTCTTGGCGGTATTCAGGGGATCATATGTGGTACCAGGGATCAAACCACAATTGGCATGTAAGGTAAATGCCTTAATCTCTGTATTCTCCCTCCAGCCCTTACTGCATAATAAGTTCTATAAATTTGATTTAAAATAACCCCCATGGTAGGATAACATTGGTTTGTCCTTTCTCCTGGGCCACAGGGAGCTTGGGTTTTCTGAATTGCACCCATTTACAGTGCCCCCGAGGCACTGCCATTCCTCTGTGTTTATCCTTAACTTCTCTGTGCTCTCTTCCCGAACCAATTAATCACCCATTTCTCCTAAGCAGTACCTGTAACTTCTAAAGTCAAATTCTTCATAAATCTCTGGATTTGTATTTGCAAGTGAAATACTGCTTTTTTCTTTCCCTTATGTCCTTTTGCACAGTTTACTTTAGAGCAGTGTCCTTTATGTATAGACACAGGAATACAGTTAATGCTATGCTTTTGCAACTGGAGAGTTAACTGACTCCGGATAATATTCATTCCTGGGCTCTCAACTTAAGCTTCAGTTGCCCTTAGTTCCTGGCACCCCAAAAGCAGGGTCCTGACGAGGAACTGGATGGACCCTGGGCAAGTTGTTAGCTACCCTGGCATCGAAATGGGCCTGTCCAAGCGCCATAATACTTAACTCTTAAGAGCACAGTCACGGACCAATTCTGTCATGATCCAAAGAGTAACAACTGGATTAGGACCCTACTAGGGTTAGGAAAGACTAATCT